AGGTTGGCCCAGGATCGAACATTGTTTCGTTCTGCTGTGCATGGAGTCGCTATGAGTCGGTTCCGACTCGATGGCACCTGACAACAACAACAATGTAGCAAAAGTCTGAGTACTGGAAATAAAGAGATGAACAAAACAAATAGTATTTCCATGGAGTTTTCCATCAACAAGAAAAAGTAAAACATGATTAATCATAACTGGAGTTAAGGGCACTAGATTGGGTGATACGAATGCTGCATTAGAGTTTTTATCTTAATGATATAACTTTAAATATTATGAAACAAGGATATGGTTTCTAGAAATAATAATTTTAAAAAAGGAAAAGATCAATAAACTAATAACCAATAGAATAGACCAGAAAGAGTGTTTCTGGAAATTTCCTGGTAACCAACGGGATGGTAGGAGATGAGGTCAAATTTCCATATTTCCAGTTTCTTAATGTCTTCACTTTTTTCCTCTGTCAATCTAAATAACTTAGAAATAAATGGTTGGTTTCCTGGCATGAAAGGAAGAAGAGTCAAATCCAGGCAAATAACTTTAGAAGTCACATATGGTTGTGGTCTGCTGGGAGTGAAATGTTAAAGCTTTGAACCCACTCAGCTGCACTTTGGAAGGATAAAAGACCTTTTAATCTTCTTATGTAACATTTGCAACCAAGAGAATCCTAAGGGACAGTTGTATTCTGTTATACACGTGTGCCCCATGAATTGGGATCGACTCAACTGCAAAAGTCAACAGGATTATCATGTGCTCTTTTAAATCAATAAGTATATAATGTTAAGGATAATGCATTCCTTAAACTTAACTCCATTCATTACTTACCCATCCTCAATATTTCAGATTTAGATTATTTTATTGTGCCGATCAACCCTTCCAATTCTTCATCATATGTTCATCCAGAAACCCACACTTAATTTGTAGAGAAGTTCATTTATTGGATTTGTAAATAGACTAACAATGTTTGTAATATCAGTTACTAATGCAGGAATCCTGGTGCAGCATTGTAATTTATAAGCACTGGACTGCTGACAGCAAAGCCAACGGTTCAAACCCACCAGCAGCTCTTCATAAATCCTATGCAGGGATTTAGGATTGTAAATTGGAACCAACTCAATGGTTACTGACAACAACAACATTACAGGTTCCTGGAGTTCTTTTTGTTAGGAGAGTTGACTCATACTCATAGGAACCTTGTATATACAGAGGATAACTGCACCATAGGGTTTTCAAGGCTGTGACCTTTCAAAGGCAGATGGTTAAGTTTTACTTGTTACTACAAATTCTTAGATTATAGAGGAACACTTGCTATTAAATGTCTCTTTCATCCATCTCCCATCAAGGCAGTGATGCTGGGTAATACTGCCACTGGTTTTTTAACACAATCTTTATTAAACACACCCTTATCAACATAATACGCAGCAATAAGAATTACACAGAGTCATCCTTAAATTTGTTTTCTGGAATTATGTTTACAAACTACATTCTCCAAACATCATTAATGAAGGAAATGTTTTCTACTGTAACAACATTTACTATGGAGTCCTGGTGTGACATCATAGGCTAATGCACTGGACCACAAGATCAGTTTAAATTACAAGGTAAATAGTTCAATCTCACCAGCCACTCCTCAGAAATCCTCACTAAGAGTCAGAATGAACTCAAAATCGCTTAATAACAACAACAATAACATTTACTACACTCTGGGTTTCAGAGAAAAA